GTTTCGTCGTATAAATCTCTCAAATGAAAGTTTGCGAAGGTTGTATCGCCAGACCAAAAAAAAAACAGCCTCGCATAATGTCCGACGTTGAAATATTATTATGTATGGTAGCACCATATGCCCTAATTTCGTTAGTTCGATCTGAAACCGGTGGAGGGAGGCCGGCACTTATGTAAGCATCCAAAATAACTGAGTGAAGCTAAAAAGCAATAGTGTTCTTTTTCACTTCACCATGTTTAACTTTCAAAGGAAAAAAATAAACTCTTGTGAAAACCTGCAGACTTTTCTCAATGTAAAGTTTCAAAGGCCTAACCGGGCACAGAAATAAATCCTCATTGTCATCTGGTCCTAAAATACTGCTGAGGGGCCTGATAACAAATGTTCTGTCAGGATCCCCGGTTTCTGATTTTTAGCTCCAAGGTCCCACATTAACCAAAGTTCAAAACGCCATTCTCACCCCTTTGGCGTTTCACCTGCTGAACGTCACAGCAGTTCAAAATTTGCCGCCATATTTAAAAAATAATGTACTCTTACTCTTGGTAAGTTGGATATTGGTTAGAAAAGATCAAAGGGTGACGTCACATCTGTATTCTAACTGTAAAGAAATACACTTTAAGTAAGTCCTATGCTCGTTCAGAAAACGTTAAGTAAAAAAATAAATGTTTATTTTTTTATGTATAAACGTAATCGACAGTTATTGTCTAATACTATAACAATGCTAATGCAATAAACTTCACTCTATCTAGCTAAAATGGTATAGCGAATAGTCATGGTTCAATACCACTGGTAAGTCATTGACTATACAACTGATTTATTTACATGTAAACATGTACCGTAATAGACTACTTGTTTTTCTTTTCTTTTTAAACTACGACCCCTGTATATGAATGAGGAAGTAATATAGATTGTATAACTTATATCAAATATATTATAATCTTAAACTAAAATGGCGATAGTTGTGTTACTGATAGGAATATTAACTCAAACAATATTAGGTATGTTTTTATATCTTATTATATTCATATATAATCTTATAGTACATATAATAATATGTTGTGTAAATGTATAAATACTAATAAACTGAATCTTAGAGGTTCAATGTTGAAATGACTTATCTGTTATTGTGATCATGTATGTTCTTTCCCCTTTATTATTGATATAATCATTGGATATGAATTGTATATAGGTTGATTTACCTATTACTCTGTTTTTTTTGTATGATAAGTATTGGGCAAAAGCAAGTGTATATGGTGCTTAATTAAACAATACAATACATCAATACTTGTATTTCTTATATAAATATATATTAAACATTTAATAGGAAAGTAAAATAAATACTGAACCTAATGAACTAGTTGATGGAGAATCTGATAGTGTTACCTGTTATTATAACAATGTAATAGACAGTAACTGTATAATATTCTCTTTATATTTTAGGTCAAGTTATAATAAATACTGAACCTAATAAACTAGT